TTTTAGTTTAGATAACTCATCAAATCTAGTGAAAAAGGTAGCTAGTTAAATAAAATGAAATAGTAAATCTGAAGCTCTTCTTAGTTTTGTTTTGTCCTTCACCAGCACTTAATTGCTTAGAGTGCACAGGTCACAGTTTTATGCTTACAATATACCAAGTACCTCTTCATCTCCCCTTAGTCTCTCAGTACTACTAACATTCAAGCAATATTATGTGAATTTAATTCTGTATAGCTCAGGCTGATGTTTCTCACAGTGCAATAAAGTTACAACATATAACAGTCAAAGCCTTGATATAACATGGCATTCAGGGTTTCCAGTCATAGAAGCAAAGATACTATACCACGAGGAAAGAGTAAATAAGTTGCGATGCCTAAATACCACATGTTAATTTGTTTTCAACCATCATGAAGCAAAACACTCTCAAATCCAGCTGCAAATATACCTCTCAATCTGCCAAAACCTAGATGTGCAATATATCCTGTTAGAATGGGTGACAAACAAAATGAGGAAGCTGCAAAGGATCAACTTAAGGAGAAGCTCAAAATGCTGTCAGGCACATTTATTTAATATAAATAAAGAATTATCCAAACCTCAGATTCATGATTCAGCATTTCTGTTGGCAGTAATTTATGGCAACTTTTGAAGAGTCAAATAAAAATAGAACATACTGGTAGATCTGTGCTGAAAGAGGATGATAGAATTTTAGCTCTGGAAGGGCAGGGCTAGGAAATTCTGACACTCCAGATATTTTGGGCTACATCTCACAGAATCCTGAGCTCATATTGCCAATGACTGTAAGAATTGTAGTCCAAAACGGTGGCTCCCAACTTTGGGCCACATGTGCTCCCAGAAATCATGGCCAGCATGAAGGCCTCTGGGAATTTTAGTCCCAGAACATCTGGGGACCCAAGGCTGGGAACCACTGGTCTAAAACATCTGGAGTGCTGAAGGTTCGCCACCCCTGCTTCTCAACAGGGGCCAAGTTAATTATGCAACTTATACAATCCCTATTCAGTCTATATTTCTCTCATACTGTGTTTATGGCTGTGGCCAAAAAAGGTTGAGAATGGCTGCTCTAGAGAGCAACCCACTGCTTAATTCAAAATCTATAACAAGGATGCATTTGTTAAAGGAATGGAGGGTGGTTTTTTTGTTTTTTGTTTTGGCCTTCCAGACGCTGCTGCTCTAAAATGCCCATCATCATTGACAGCTGGTCCCATTGTCTGGGGCTGGTGGGAGTTGGAGTCCAACCGCATGTCAAGAGCCATCATTGGGTGACAGTATCCCTGACAGAGTGCTCTCTGACTTCTGCTTATATGATTGCCTGAAAGAAGAGTCCACCAATTTGTGAGGCAGTCAGTTCCAGTACTGAACATTCTGCATTAGTTAGGCATTTCTGTTTAATTAAAACCTGCTTGCTTTCAATTTCAACCTGTTAGTTCTAGTCCTGCCTACTGGGGAAACAAGAACAAGGCTATTCCATCTTCTCCGTGGTACTACTTCTTGGCATTTGAAGAGGGCTCTCCTCTTCTCCAGTCTAAACTGTAAGCCTCAGGGTCTCACCATCCTGGTCATTTCAGCTTTGGATACATTTCAGTTTGTCAATAGATAACCTTATTCAGATATTGTGCCTGAAAATCTGGAGGGCTAAATGGGAGGTGTGGTCAGAGGGATGGATGCACATAAGCTTGGACCCCATGGCTTCTCCCTATCCAGAAATTACTCAGACCTTTGCTGTGTTTAGTGTTATGATTTGCAGAGTATCTGTTAGCACTTTGATTTAGAGACCCATTCATTTCAATGTGTCTACTCTCAGTAGACACCCAGTGTGGTGTAGTGCATGGAGTGACAGACTAGGACTTTGGAGACCAGGATTTGAATCTCTGCTCAGTTGATGATCTATGCAGATGGCCAGGTTGACACTGGAGCAGAAAGAGTGCCCTGGTCCCAGACAGTGAGGATTTTGAAATCTAAAACAAGCAGCTTGATTTGTGCCTAGAAACCAGATGGGAATCAACCACATCATCTGTGGTGTTTGATTTCTAACTCCTTAGAATGCATTTAAAGCTTGTCACATGCATTTCCAGCAAAGCAAGCATAGAATTAGGGGAATCCAGATACCTCTTCTAATACTGTATAGAGCTCTTTTTTGAATGACAACTGCGTACTTTACCACAGCATGTTTAGGGCTACATCGCACCTGAATCTCTGCATTCCATTGTGGTTTTGTGCATGAGCCATCATGAAGTGTCCTCTGTTGGTATTCATTATTAAGTACGTTGATCAGCAAATATTATTTTTGTCATGTTAGTAACTGAGAATGGCATTGCAGTTATGCTTTGTACAGGGTTGTGATGCTTTGGAATTTGATCTGATTGCATATAAAAGAGGCACATAGTTTATTCACCCTCTGATCACTGAAACTGCACAGGAGAATGAGAACTGGAAGTATTGCATGGTTCAAAAAGCTAATAGTCAAGAGCCTGAGTTATGAAGCAGAAAATCCCTGTGGCTCAGATGTGAACTCATTAGGTCACCTTAGGGAGCTGGTTCTTTTATTACCCCCTGGCAGTATACAGGTAAAAACACAATATTAATAAATCCATACTAATACAAGGATAATAACTGTGTCCATGTTTCCAGGTCTTATTGGTAATGTCCTGACATTTGCAGCACAAAGAGAGAGCTATGGTTTCAGCTGCAGTTCATCTCAATCTAAGACCAGAGGATTATACCCAGTGTGGAGATCTCTTGTCCTGTGATGGGGGATATGGCTTCAGAGATTCCTTTGGGTCCCTGGTGGTGTGGAGGTCTCCTATTCCCTTCTAAGGGCACCTCAAATTCTAGGTGTGAACACAGTTGTTGTATCAGAAATGCTTTGTCAAAAATTCTTTGACCAGTCTAAAACAGTAACCAGTACTGGTGCTTATAACGTTACAGTAGCAGTAACATTTATTTTAATTAAATAATTAAATGTATTCTACCACTTTTCTGACAGAAAAAGTACTTGAGTATTGTTAAACAGGATTGAAAACACCTTGCATCATCCTAGTAGTTTTAAGAGGATGGTGCTTGTAAAAGAAGCAAAAGATTCTTAGTGGCAGATAAGGCCAAATTATATTTGTAACATTAAACAATGACTTGGCTTTGTGAATCACAGATTTTACATGCTGTTTGGCTGGTTTTCACATATGGAAGAGAATGAAGTGGGAGAATTATGACAGTGGTAGAATGGGGGAGCGCTTCACTTTGAAGTACAGTGGTGCCCCGCTTGATGATGACCCTGCTTGACGATGAAATCGCTTGACGATGAGTTTTTTGCAATCGCTATAGCAATCGCAAAACAATGATTCAATATTTTTTTTCGCTTTATGACTATCAGTTCCCTGCTTCGGGAACCAATTTTTTACTTAACGATGATTAAAAACAGCTGATCGGCAGTTCACAAAATGGCTCCCCACTGTTTTGCTGACGTATTTTCGCTATACAGGCATCGGAAAATGGCCGCCCTATGGAGGATCTTTGCAGGACGATCAGGTATTTTCCCCATTGGAATGCATTGACCGGTTTTCAATGCATTCCAATGGGTTTTTTCTTTTGCTTGACAACGATTTCGCTGTATAGCGGGGTTTTTTCTTTCGCTTGACAACGATTTCGCTGTATAGCAATTTTTCTGGAATGCATTATCGTCATCAAGCAGGGCACCACTGTAGAGTTGAAGAAGAAAATTAGCATGTTGAGCAGAACCCTACAAATTCCATGGTTGTGCAATACATTTATTAGGATCAACTAATGGCAGAAACAATGGTTATAGATAACCTGTTGCTATTAGAGGATGCCCCTTGAAAGCTGATTATGTGTGACTGTCACAGAAGGGGTTTCTATGGTGTTTGCAGATTAGCTTGCTTTGTTTTGCGATTTTTCTTGGAGGGGGGATTTTCTTTGAAGGATGACAAAAGTGCAGGTGGAGCAGGGTTGGTTGAAACAGACCTCCCAGCTCTTGTCTCTCATGTCATCCTCTTACACCCTCTCCAAACGCAACATAATGTGTCGGAAGATTTTAATAAACAGAGTGGAGTGTGATGTGTGTGGATAGAGGGGCTCCCCCTGGCAAGAGCATTTTTTATGACCAGTGGCATTATTTCTTGCTTTGGAGAAAGTAACATGACATGAGCCCTGCTGGATCAGCATGAGTCTCTAGCTTGTGAACCACCCCCAAAAGTAACCAGCTCTCCATTTGCCAGGCGCTCAGACTGAAAATGTTCTGAAATTAGGATCATCTTCAGATTCCACTGAAAGTCCCATGGATTTCAATACAATTGGATTTGGAACTCTCACTCTAATGGAAATTATAAATATTATTGAAAAAAAATGTTGGCTTATAAAAAACCTTTTGCTAAACCTTTGAAATGCTTTTCTGAAATGCTCCAAAACATTTTCCAGGTCTGAAAAATCTGACTCTCCAATTTATGCTTGCAAGCTCCTATTAATCATTCAGCACCTCATGTTTATAGTAATGAGCGTGAATGTTGGATGAATAAAGTCATTCCCTACTTTTTTTTTCTGTTGTGGTTTAAAATTAGAAGGGGCTAAACTGACTTGAATGTGCTCTACAGTGAGATGGAGCCAAAACCCACTAAACTCCATGTGCAGTTCAATGACCAAGATTTCCAAAAACCTGAAGCAAATTTTAATATCTGTTTCTCACATCTCCTCACTTCCTTGTTTGATTGCAGACAGAAGCGGGAAGTGCCAATATTTTGTAAGGCAGATTGCATATGTGGTAACTCTGGCCCAAACGAAACTAGGCATTACCAAAAGTCATGCAAGGTTTCCAGCCCAATTGCCAGACCAAAGAGGTTGGGATAAGTGTGCATAATTATAGGAGATTTCTTCCAGCCCTTTTGCTTGTAGCCTTGTCCACTGTGCTCTGCTATCAAGGAAATGGAATTAATGGCCTCCACCAGCTATAATGCTTCTCTTCTTTTTTTTTTCAGAGCTTTGTCATCTGTGGTGGCTTTAGGAGCAAACATAATCTGCAACAAAATCCCAGGCTTGGCCCCACGGCAACGAGCAATCTGCCAGAGCCGTCCTGATGCCATCATAGTGATTGGAGAAGGGGCCCAGATGGGAATCAATGAATGCCAGTATCAGTTTCGATATGGCAGGTGGAACTGCTCAGCACTGGGAGAGAAAACAGTCTTCGGTCAAGAGCTTCGAGTAGGTAAGCAATTTCTTAGAGTAACATAGAGTTGGAAAAGCTGAGGCATTTGTCTTTGAGCATTTTTCCTTCCACAGAGTTAGAGGTTTAGTAAATCCATGGCATTTGGTCGTCATTTGTGGTCGTTTGGTAATCAATAACAAACATTTGGTACTATTTAGAATGAGCTCACACCCTGCTTCATGCTTACTTAATTTTCTTATTATAGTGCAATAGACAATCAAACTGAGGATGGATGTGTTCTCAGAAACTCCCAAAGCTGATGATTTTAGAAGCAAAACTTAACACACTATGTGTATCTTTACCAATCTCTGTAACTCTACTGTGTTATAAGGGCTGTTATCCTTGTTATGTGCCTAGTGATGTTTTTAGTGTTATTTAATGATTTTATGATTTTGTAAGCCACCCCGAGTAGACACTGTCTAGGGGGGCGGGGTATAAATCGAACAAACAAACAAACAAACAAACAAACAAATAAACAAGTAAACAAGTAAATAAATAAATAAATGAATGAATAAATGAATAAATAAATAAATCATGTTGCTTCTAACTTGCCACCATCTGTGGCTGAAATCCTGCTGTCCATTTATGCAAATAGTGCAACATTTAGACATGGACTGCAGTAAGTTAAGAAATAGATATTATAGATTGTGCACCAAGTTACAGAGCTCAGTATGTAGCAGATAATGTCTATGGAGATTTCTTAACTTACAATGGTTCACATCTACAAGTCACACAATTTATGTACCCATACAACAGGATTTCATCCTGTGAATTACTGACTAAAAGTAAATAGTCTTGCTCATATCTTGCAAACTAAAGGCTGTGGTTTCCTTTATATTGAATCAGGTGGCCTCTTCCTTCCTTTCCTTCTGCTAGCAACTGAAGACCTACCACATTTAGAGAGGCTTTTGGACAGTCGGAAGGCAACTGAGATGAGGAGATTTAGAAAAATTTTAAAATCTGCTTAACAGTTTTAAAATAAACTTTTAACATTTTTTAAGTTATCGTTTTAAAAGATTAATTGGTATGTTTTAAAGTATTTGTGGTTTTTAAAATTTTATTTTTTTGGTAAGCCATCTTGTGTTTCAGCAAGGGAAGAACAGCAGGATAGACAGACAGATAGATTTCATGTTAGCTTTTCCTCTTTTCCTATTGCCTTCCACATTTCCTAGTGTTATTGTTATTTCCAGTGAGTCTTCTTGCAATACATCAAATGTACAATAGCTTCAGTTTTATCATTTTAGCTTCTAGTGAGGGTTAAGGCTTCATTTGAAACATACATATTACCTTACAAGGGTCTGCAGGACAAACACTACTATTGCTCAGTGGATGCCTGGGGGAACCTGTAGTGCCACAGGGCTGAAGCAGAGAGCAAAGTCAGCTCTCTTCAGGCCTGCCATATTGCCCAACTGCCCAGGGTTCACCTGGATTCTACTCATGCCACCCAGTATTTCTCCACTCCTTCAGTTGGCTCAGATTTTCAACTTCCATTGTTTGTAAAGGAAGTCTCTGGCTCAGGGGTGGTGAACTGCAGGCCACGGCTTTCTGTATTGAGCAAGTCTTCTCTTTTCTTGTTTTCCCAGCATGCAAGTAATTACTGTCTGTGTCACCACCCTTCAATGAGCTCAACTGGTTTGGTGGCATCAGCTGCAGCAGTGATGGTGGCAGAAAGCTAGAGGCCTAAATATCTTCCTCCCCACACCATTTCTACCTCTTTTCCCCCAGTACCTGAAAGATTAGTATACAAAGCAATGGAAAACAGAAAGTAGAGCTTCTAGCCTCTTCCAAGTTCTCTGATGCCTGGGATGCTGAGTGTTTGTTTGTCCTTTGATTTTGAAGATGACCATTCCTTCGGAGTAACCATTTAGAGGAAAAAAGAGAAGAAGAGAGTGGTTTTAGTTGAGCAGTAGCACATTGATAGACACGCCGGCCTATAAAGTCAGGAAGATATGTAAACAGTGGGTGGCAGATTAGCTGGTGTTGGGCTTTTTAGGCTGTTATTTATTTATTCAAACACTTTCTCAATATTCTCTTCCTTTTGCGTCTTTGATTCTTTTTGCTTCAATTTCTTTAGCTTCCCAATTGACAAGGTCAATATTAACATCTTCCAATGTTGTCTTCAGTGTATCCTTGAATCATTTCTTTTGTCCACTACACAATAGAGCACCTGCAGTAAGCTCTCCATAGAAGATTCATTTTGGGAGACTGTCATCTGACGCCCTGGCAATATGGCCCGTCCATTGAAGTTGTCGTTGTCTCAAGGATTGTAGAAATGCTTGCCATCTGTCTTGCTCCAAGACTTCAGCGTCTGGGATTTTATCTTGACATGGTCAATATCAACATCTTGCAATGTTGTCGTCAGTATATCCTTGAATTATTTATTTTGTCCACCACACAATAGAGCACCTGCAGTAAGCTCTCCATAGAAGATTTATTTTGGGAGATTGTTATCTTACATCCTGACAACATGGCCACTCCACTGAAGTTGACGATGTCTCAAGGACTGGAGAAAAGCTTGTCATCTGTGCTTGCTCCAAGACTTCGGTATTAGGGACTTTATCCTGCCATTTGATGTTGAGAATTCTCCAAAGGCAGGTAAGATGAAAATGACTGAGCTTTCTTGCATGGCATTGATAGATAGTCTACGTCTCCACTCCATAAAGTAGAAAGGGCAGAACAACAGTTTTGTACATCTTCAGCTTAACAGAAAAATTGATTCCATGTCAATTCCATATAGAGGATCAAAGTCTTTCAAAGGCAATGCTGGTTTTCGAATTCTGTGAGGCCACTTTAATGTTAATGAAAATGGAACAGGAGACAGTGCTGCCGACATACTTGAACTTATCCACTGCAGTAAGAGGGTCTTTGTATACCTTCAGAACTAGTTCCTTATAAACTTTACATGGGGCAGGTTGGTATATTACCACTGTCTTATTGCTCTTCAGCCCAAAATTGTTGCAGGTGGAAGAGAACAGATCAAGACTTCTTTGCATATCCAGAAGTGTAGTTGCATTAAGAACACAGTTGTCAGCAAATAAAAGCTCACACACTGTTCAAGATGAAAATTTTGTTATAGCCTGCCGGTATCACAGATTGAACAACTTCCTGTCCATGCAGCCTGAAAGATCAAGACCAGAGTATTCTTCCCTGTAAGCATCCCAGAATGTTGCAGAAGATGTAAGACTGAAAAGATATGGAGCAAAAAAAGCTGCCTTGTTTTACACCATTTCTAATGGGAAAAGGATAAGAAAGGATGTTGTTGTCGAGGACATGAGCTTGCATACTATCACAGAATTCTTGAAAAGCATATGTGAATTTCTCAGGACGTCCAAATTTCTTCATGATTTTCGATAGGCCACCTCTGTATGCCATATCAAAAGCTTTAATCACACCTATGAATGTTGCATAGAGGTTGACATGCTGCTCTTGATACTTTTCTTGTAGTTGTCGAGTAGCAATGATTTTGTCAAAAGTCCTCTGTTCTTTTTGGAAACCACATTGAGTCTCTGGTAAGAGGCCTCTCTCCAAGTATCCTATGAGGCAATTCAGAAGGATTCTTGCCAGATTTTTTTCCTTGCACAATTTAGAAGTGAGATGCCTTGGTGGCTGTTGTATGATTGACAATTGCCTTTCCTTTTATAAAGGTGGGGAATTATTGCATCTTTTAAGTTATGCGGTATTTTGCCTTGCGTCCACATCTCTTGAAATAGTTCTGTCAGTTATTGGAAGAGTTTATCACTACCTTTTAAAAGATGTTCACTGGAATTGCATCTGCTTTCCCACTGGAGAGTTTGTTAATGGTCTCTTGGCCAGAGATGCGGGGAGGGCTATGGAAATGTTGATTGGCACTTATGGCAGCCAGCTAATTGCCTCCTCACTACTTTCAGATTGTCTATTTAGCACATTTTGAAAATACTGAGCCCACCTCTGCAAATTCTGTGGTTTTTCTGTACTGGACCATGTGAGGTAAGGAGAGGCAACATTACCACAGTGTGGGGGGCACAGAAGGTTTTTGATTGCTTCAAAAAAATCTTAGTTTCTCCATGATCAGCAAAGTCCTGGATCTACTCTGCATTCCTGCTGAGCCATGAGTTCTGTGTTTGGACTGCAACTCGTTTTATTGGAAGCAGCTTTATTGGCAGTTGATAAGTTGAGTTAAGATGTAGTTGATGTTTCATTGAACAAGTTTTGCAATTTCCTCATCATTCTCATCAAACCAGTCCTGGTGGACATGTTTCTTTGGCCCAAGAACGTTCATAGCCATGGCAGATAAAGTATCACAGAGAGTTTCCATTGATCATGAATATTTCTGTTTCTGGCCAGAATTTATTTTATAATTGTATTTAGGTTTGTCCCCAGATATTCTGTCTTTGACTTCAGGGTGACCATCCTGGAACAAAAGTACTTCAAAGAGAAATCCAAAAGGAAGGGGATGAATATTAATATTTCAATAAGTTCAACTGTATTCCTTTGATTTTAACAGGGAGAGGGCTTTTTATCTCATTACATATATTAATCAGCTCATTCATTTAGGCTTCCCTGTATTGTTATTCTGCTGCTATGAGTTTATGACAAGGATCTGCACAATTTTTTTCTGTGATTTTGCACTCCTATTTCGTCTGCCTCCTTTGATCACTGATAAGAAACCCACCAAAACTGTGGATTATATCCTTTAGTTATACTGGACTAAAACAAAGACTTCCCCCTATTCTACATGAATTAATCTGTGTATCTGAGCTGTAATGTACTTGTAATGCATTTTGATTGAATCTTAACCATTACCATTAAGATTTTAGTTGTTATCTCAAAGACAGTCTATATGGTGACCCCTAACTGACCATCACCATGCTGAATTTCTCCCTCTCACCTATCAGTTTGGATCCAGAAATCCCACAAGATCTGGACTTCCTCATTTTCCAACACCTTCTCTACCTGATGTTCCCATGGGTTTTTGGAGGCTGGCAAGTTATATTTTTTGCATAAGGACCTGTGCACAAATT